GAACCGCGGTCCCTGTGCTTTGCCAAGCTTGTTCTAAGTAGGTGCTTTAGACCACTGAGCCATCTCTCCAGCCCCGGATGTTTGATTTTGATCAAAGACATTTTCTTCATCAAGTAAGATTGTGTGATTTTTGTATTTGTTTATGTGGCATATTTCATTTATTGATTTGCATATGTTGAATGACATTCCAGGTTATATTCCTGGAATGAAGTCAGCTTGGTCATGATGTATTTTCTTTTTGATGACTTAGAACTTTTTAAATTCATATTCATCCTCTTCCCACTGCCCACGTTGGGGATGAGACCAGGACCTTGAGCATGCAAGGCCAATACTCTACAACTTAGTTATCTCCCTAATTGCTCAGCACAGCCTTAACCAGTTAATTTCAAAGACTTGCTGTTATATGTCCCTCACCTCATTTGAACCTTAGGTATCTTGTGAAGGAGAAAAGACACATTTTTTTTTTTTTTGGTACCAGGACTCAAACTTTGGACCTTGCACTTGCCAGGCAGGTGCTTATGCTGCTGAGTTATCTTCCTGACCCAAGACACATACTTTTTATTTCCATTTGACAGGGGTAAAATTTGAAAACAACAGAATTACCTTGGGTAAAGTCACATAGTAAAAAAAAACAAAACAAAACAAAACAAAAAAACCCCACAATGGGTTTTTTTTTTTTTTTTTTTGTGGAACCAGGGATTGAACTCAGGCCCTGGCCCCCTAAATTTCCTTTTTTGGATCAGGGATCAAACTCAAGACCTTGCACTATCCAGGCAGGCACTTACAATGCTGAGCTATCTCCCTGGCCCCTAAAAAACAGATTGTAGTACAGTGTTTATAGAACTAAGTCTTTTGGATCCCCATCTGGGGGCTAGGCTCCCTAACCTTGAACAACTTTAGACAATTAAAGAAAACACTCAAAGCTTTGAAAGTTTTGACATGATAGTTGTCAAATTCAGAAGTAAAATGTTTGCATATCTAAGATACAACATCAACTGTGAACATCTCTCAGAATTAGATGCCCGAGGCCAGGAAGAGAGAATCATGTTAGCTT